GTAAGGTTTCTCTTTCGTTCTGTTTGCAGATAGGCGAAGAAACCGATCGTTTGAAGAGGTAGATGCACACTCGTCAGTACACCACCGAAGGAATTCTGGACGCTTGATTGGCCTGTGGCCACTACCAGTCCTGTGCAACCTGACCTGACCTGACTTGAAGGACGTTGAAGTTTTACGCACTACACGTTTGCTGGCGGTGTTTCGAAATTCTGAGTCATGTTGTACAAAACTGTTTGTCTGTTTCTTTTTGTTGCTCTGTGCGCTTCCGGGGACACATATGACCCACAAAAAAATGTACTTATTCTAACAGAAAACGTATGGATCAAGGAAAGTCACTCACTTTTCATAAAACAGCTCACTGGTGCGTTTTTCAAGTTGTGTTAATTGGCCATCAGAAAGAGGATTTCAGCCCACAGTGCGAGTTGCTGATGACCCTTCATTAACGTTGACTAAATATGGAGAATATCTTTATAGGCACGTGATACTGTTGGCACCATCAGTTAATGGTAATTTATAGTATTGTTTGCTAACTTTTGCAGAGTTCGGGGGATCTCTCAGCGTGAAAGAACTGGTGAAATTCATCGACGAGGGTGGTAATGTTGTGGTTACCGGAAGTAGCGATATTGGTGAAGCCATACGAGATCTGGGTAGCGAATGTGGAGTCGAGTTTGATGAATCGGGCACAGCTGTAATTGACCATTTTAATTATGATGTCGCTGATGATGGAACGGTAATGTACTAAGCTTGACCGCGAATTTTTTTAGCATACGAAAATTGTCGTTTCTCCGAAAAACTTGATTAAGAGCTCCGTTATTGTAGGGAGCGAGAATAAAAATGATTTTCTTTACCGAGGAGTCGGGTAATAAACAGTTCATTCGTAAACATTGCGTAGAATCTCCTCTGATCCCACGAACCCGTTATTGGTGAACATATTACAAGCTGATCGAACTGCATACAGTTATAGTACCTCAAAGTCGGTTATTGATTACCCAAACACCGTTGGAACAAACACACATCTCATCGTTGCCCTTCAAGCTCGGAATAACGCGCGCGTGTTGTTCTTGGGTTCACTGGATTTCCTCTCAAATGAGTTTTTCAGATCTTCAACAAAAGCTGCAATTTCTGGTACTCAGTAAGTAATTTCATTATTAACTGAATTTTGGCTGCCGTCTTGTGTTCCCAAGGAGATTACCATTAGTTTCGGCAATTATTGGTCAATATCTCGTGGTTGTTGCACACATTTTGAGTTTGATCATTGACATGAGCCGTTATGAAAGAATTTATAAAGAGAGGACGGACGATGTGGAGCCAAATTGTAGTTTTTTGGGTAACGTCATCATCGTACAGCGAAATTCACTGATCACTGCGAAATTCGTAGTGTAATCTCTGTTAGAGGTAATATGTAAGGTTGACACGGATCGACCTATTTTGGGGGAAGGGAAGCAAGTGAACCTCTGGTCAACACAGTACACTGTCTGACTGCATGCGTACGTTTCAAGCATCTTGATCTGATGGGAAATGCCAACAAGGACGCCATTGCTGTCGGTTCAGTTGTATCATCCAATGTCTCCAACCAACCAGTTGCAGCATATTTCGGACCCCAACCTGGGCGCGAAACATCTACCCTTCCTCATCCTTCTGTGAGTTTCTTCATTCCTAGTCTTCACATCTGTTGACCCCCACCGGTTCTCCAGTCGGAAACGGCTGCCGCTAATAAAGCGCGGAGAATCAAATGAAAGCTGAGCGTACGCAGTACGTACTCTATTCAGCGAAGCCTATTAATCTGATAAACTGTCAAACACGACGGCTTATCTCCAGATTACTAACCTGTTCGCTTTATCCCATATGGGCTAAACTAAACCGATAGTCGAAAAATTTTAGTCAATAGATACCCGCAAATACAAGATCTCAATCAAAAAGTAGAACTGAACAAACTACAGCACAATACACACGACCTTTGAATTTCACTGAAACGTCGCTTCAACGCCAAAGGTATTTTAGTCTCACATACGCTGCTCGAGACGTGAAAAAATGGGCGGTCATCTTTGCTCTGCTACCGGCAGCGATCGGTGAAGTTCGCTTCACTATCTCGCTGTACGATTATGATGATGACCAACAGTGTTAGGGTCGCGTTGTGCGTCCTCTATACATTCGAACAGACAAACGATATAATCAGTTTACCCTAAATCACAGCTTTTCTCCAGCTACCCATTCAATACCTACGTCTTGGAGACCATTTAGTGCGTTCTACAGAATTTTCTACGACAAAATTGAACATGAACGGCAAAAGAGGGCACCTTTGACGAGCGCTGCTGCTGGTGACGAACAACCTACTTAGTTCTTTATAAACCGCGGGTATGTAGGTATAGTAACCTCAGTAAGTTAACGTACTTCTGGGACATTTTTCTAAGCAAACCCATTAGAGCTTCGCAGTCAACTTGCGTCCAAATATTTTGCGTTAAATCAGTAATAGAGCTTAGGAGGTTATCAACCTCCTATCTTGAAAAGAGTGAGAAAGGAGCTCGTCCATTCCTGCTGCGTTTTCTCGCTTCAGAGCAAGACCGAACGTATGCTTCTACCGGAGGATCGCACGACACTGTCCATAGAGCTTCAGTTGCGGATGGAGTAATCTCGCTAGCACCAAACCAGCTGAACTGTCCACTGAAGCACTCCCCCCAACCATTGTTCCCTAGTGTGAATAGCCTATCCTCTTCCATCATTGTTCTACTATTTAAAGTTTGCCGGCCTCCGGTATTGCGCATCAACTGGAACCATCTTTGAATATTCCCTGATGGAGCTGCTACTTCCATTCCAATAGTGATTATTGACCACCAGTTTTCACGATCTTTCGCTAGACTTTGTGGGCCGACGTTGCAGACACCACATAACCTTGTTTTGATCCTGTCAGGTCGTGGTTTGTCGTTTTCTCTCTATCGGGGATACTAACTCATAAGATAACCAATGCCTACGACAGGCTTGAGGCTCAGACCCACACGGAACATGCGTTACGGAACGCCTAATCTGAGCCCACTGCTCATCTACATCACACTGAAGCGCTTAGGTCACGCACTAGCTTGTAGCGCACATGAACTGCTGGAGCAGACAGACGATGATGAGCTATCCAAGTTTGCTGGTTTTGTC